CCCCACCCACATGTACACATACAAAGACGCATTTCATAAACAATCTTTTCTTTTTTTTTCGTTTTTCTCCTTCACATTTCTAAGAGCCTCTTTTATTATTATTATTATTATTAATATATTTACAGCCATGTCCTCAAACAACCTTCTCTTTTTTTCTTTCTTTCTTTTTTATTTATTTATTATTTTGCGGGGGTTGGGGTGTCACAGCTTCTATATGTATACCCATCGCCGTTGTCTCTCTCTCTCTCCTCCCCTCCCCATGCCATTTTCACCTCCGAAGAAGTGTCCGAGCATTGAGATGTTTAAGCACAAATGCCTGTTGAAAGGACATCTCACGCCAATACCTGTAGCGATCACTTGCTGAGAAGTGCCCGCTTTCAAGGTCCATCTTTAGGAGTACTTCGTTGGAGTCCGTCTTGAGGGCGCGCAGTTTGGAGGCCCACTTCGCCGGCTCCCAGTAGGCCACACGGGGGTCATGAAGACCGGCTTGGATCATGAGATGCGGGTAGTCCTGCGCGCGTACATTGTCCACTGGACTATAGCTATTCATATAGTCAAAGAACTTGTATTCATTTGGGTTACCCCACTCCTCCCACTCACCTGTTGTGAGAGGAATACTCGGATCACACATCGTCGTCATGACATCTACAAACGGCACACCCGCCAGCGCAACACGGAAGAGATCGGGTCGCATGTTTAACACGGCACCAATCAACAATCCTCCCGCACTACGCCCTTCACATGCCAATTGTGAGGGTGTTGTTAGTCCAATTTCGATAAGATACTCCGCACATGCGATAAAGTCTGAAAATGTATTTCGTTTTGTGAGGTACTTTGCACCTACCTCGTACCACGCCCGGCCCATCTCCCCTCCACCTCGGACGTGTGCAATAACATAAATTACGCCACGATCCAAATATGGTAGGTATTTAACGCTGAACTCCGGCTCCACACAGACACCATACGAGCCATATGCATACAAAACTGTTGGGTGTGGCTTACTCATGTCGAGACTGACATCATGTACAATGGAAAGTGGAATCTTCGTCCGGTCTGGTGCCGTAGCAAACAAACGCCGGCAAGTGTAATTTTTCGCGTCAAAATTACCAAGCACTTCACGAACCTTGACGATCGTGCGAGTTCCATTTACGACATGCAGGTCAAACCAAGTTGTGGGGGTTGACATGGAAGTGTAGCTGACGCGCAGCGTCTCCGTGTCGTACATTTTCATGTGTGAAAAAACAGGAAAGGCGGTAAAGACGGGTTCGTCAAACGATACCTCCTGCACAAAGGCACCACTACGAAACAACCCATCAGAACCCACGGGCATCGTCCAAACACGTGTTAGTCCCCCACGTCGACCGGAAAGGACAGCAAACTTTGCAAACACACCAATTTCCCCAATGAACACATCCTCACTGTGCGGTACAATAATGTTTTCCCAATCCGAAGGGGTGTTACGTGTGGCCAACACCACCTTGCCGTTCATGCAATTGTCCTTGTTTGTTAGAATTAACAAATTTTCCGTGCCATGGAGCTCCACATCGTAGCGCACACCCTTTTCACGCGGTCGAACCATTTCCAACGTTGTGTGACCGTTGCCTTTGCGTAGATCCAACAGCTGCGACTCCGTCGTCTCGAACGACCCCGAGCCGATAATCAAGGTGCTACCATCTCCTGAAATCGCCATGGCGGTACTGAAGAGCAGATCATTCTCCGTGTATAAGCAGACATCCTCCGACTGTGGACGTCCAATAATGTGCCGCCAAATTTTATAATCCCGCTCTGCCGCGTCTTTCGTCATGTAAAAGAAACATGATGCATTTGGACCCCATAAAATTTGGCCATTGGTCCCTTCCACCACGTCGGTCACCGCATTATCCGTAAAACGGATGGTATACATCTCATTTCCAATGTAGTCAACAGAGTACGCCACAAGATTGTGATCTGGTGGCGCCGGTTTCACCTCGTGCACCATACAAAATGGTTTCCCCTCTGCCAGTTTGTTCTCGTCCAGTATCACCTGTTCATCTTCACTTTTTCCAGGCGTCATTCCCAACGGGACACGGCAGTGAATTTTGTATGACAGGCCTTCCACCTCCCGCGTGTAGTACGTGTAGCCATCATACCGGTACGGTGCGGAAATGTCCGTCTCCTTTATGTGTGAGATATACTCCTTGAAAATTGTCTCTGAAAAGTCTTTAATATCCGCCGTGCGCTCTTCAAAGTATGCCTGTTCTAGCTTTAGATGCGCAATGACCTCTGGATTCTTGCGTGAGTCATCCCTTAGCCAAAAGAGTGGATCATTTCTACGACGAGGCGGATTCATTGCATTATTTCCGCGATTCTCCCCTTCAACATAACCAAACACCACCTCGTGATCTTTAGGCGTGGCAATGGGACCACACTTCATTGAACTCACGGTAGCGGTGAGAGTCTTCCTTTTTTTATTTTATTTTATTGTGTGTGTAGGATTCCTTGCTTTCTTGTCCTTTTTCCGGTAATATATACTCGTACGAGAGGTGTCAGGAATTATTATTATTATTATTATTATTTTTTTCTTTGGGCGGAGAATATAAGAAGGAAGAAGGAAAGGGGAAGGAAACATGCTTAACTGCATTAGGGAAACAAATACATCGAGAAAGAACACACATGTACGCATACAGAAGGAGAGAGAAATGCTGGTAATGGTGATTTATTCTGTACATTCATCGCAGGAGGTCTCAATAGAAGAGAAGAGAAGGAAGAAAAAAAAAAAAAAAATAAAATAAAAATAAAAATAAAAAGAAGACGTAAAATACATTTCACTGCAAGCACACATTACACACACACACAGAGAGAGAGAGAAAATACGGACACATCTATATTATCAGAAAGAGAATAATAATATATAAATACATGCATATTATATATATAATATATAATATTCATTTCTACTTAGTTCTTACGACGTGTCACATGATCGTATATTGTAACTTGTACATAATCTGAAGTTTGAATAACGGTACGATTGCTATTATCTCCTGGTGTCGGTGCTCTAGGGTCAACATTAATTGTCTTTCTATCCCGTTTATGTTTCATAAGTAGTCCCATCTCATTATCCGCAAGTACTTGAAAGGTAAAACTGTTATTGTAAAAAAGGGTATGTGTCTTCCAGTTATAATAACTCAAATCTGTTCGTTTTGGTGCAAGTTTCTTGCGTTTTGTAAAGTATTCTGTAAAGTCTTCTGTTTTTAATCGATGACCGTAGTCAATGTAGGCCGATACCTCTTGCCCTCGCACAATATCACGGAGGAAAATGATGGTCGACAATTTTCCATTCCGCACAAGTTCTTCACGCTTCGCCAATGCGCTAAGCAACGGGGCATCATCCAATTTTTTCCCCGCACTGCAGATGACATCCACCGTCTCTTCGCGCCTTGACGGTCCCTCCAGGGCGAGTTGACATGCCGCCTCAAACTCCTCACGGCTGAGGAAGTCTTTGCCCTTGTAGCCAAGCTCCACAATTTGACGGGCGGCGTCCTGGTTGCCGAGGTAGAAGAGATCCTCCGGCGTCACCTGCTGGTCGAGGTACTCCTCGTATGAGCCAAAGTCTAACACGTTGCGGTTGAAAAGATCATTATCGGCCTGCGCCGCAAGACTCATGTCTGTATCACCGCGTCGCTCCCGCTGCCAACGACAGACATCGAGAAGAAAGAGAAAAAAAAAAAAAATGAAAAAAAAGAGAGTCAAACGTTACGCCAAAAATCCACATCGACCCCTCTTCAGAAGAAAGAAAAAAACAAAAAAAAAAAAAAAACAAAGCAAAGAAACAACGGCATAAATAATGTTACCCATACACCCATCACATATACACTGACAGAAGGAACAATATAGTTTTTATTGATGTATGCATGTGTGGGAGTACGTGTCCTCCTTTTCTTCTTGTTGTTTAGCAATTGGTATGCCTTGGCTCAATCGGAGTCCATGCACGCCGCAACGTTTCCCGAGCCAAGAGAAGTTCCGCAAGAAGGGCTCGCGCCTTCTGTGCTGGAATGCAGAGCGTGAAATGACCATGCGGCATCCGCCATGCAACCCCAACTTCCATTAGGGGTTTGCTCTCGGTGGAGTCCGATGGTGGCGATGACGGTGGTTGCGATGGCAGTTGCCTTGCGTAAATTTGCATGTCGTACAAATGCCCAGCTACACCTTCTTCTTTCTTCCCCTGTTGTTGTTGTTGCTGCTGCTGCTGCCGCTGCTTCGGCAAGGCGTCACAGGCACCAAAGCTTGCCTCATGTACAAGATGACGACGGGCAGATGTCTCTCCATCGAGTGAACCAAAACACCCAAAGGAGACACGTGGGGTTTGTCGCAGGAGTGCGCTTGTTAGTTCCATGCGGTGGGTGTGTGCGGGGGACACAACAGCTGCCGCCGACTCTTCACTCAGCCCAAGGATGCCAAGTTCCCGTACCGCATCGTTGTCCGAGACGTCATACTTCACAATGTTGAGCACGACGGTGTGTATGGCTGTTAGGGCCTGCGCCACACGTGCAACGCCAATTTCCATCATCTCCCGCTGCGAAAAGAAAAGTTTGTTTTGTACATCCAATACACCGAGCCCATCGGAATCCGTTTCCCTCGCATCCTCATGCGTCGTGAGCAACAGAATGGTGACCGCATGGTCCGACATCTTTGCCGCGGCCACAGGTTCAACGGCAGCCACCACAGCCAAACGTGCAAGCACACTGTCTGGGCAGTCCATGCCGCCAAAGAGCCTCAGCTTCATCGTACCGTCCGTGCTACACCTCAGCCACGCAAGCAAATGTATGTTCACGTAAGGCTCCTTCCACCACATACAAAGACACATACACATATACACAGAAAAACAGCAAAAACATGAGAAGAAGTAAAAAATAATGTGAAGAGAAGCATCCAATTGGCAGGCAGTCTTTACATATATATATATATATATATATATATTAATGCAAAAGAAACAAAACTTCTGAACAAATGCTCCGTGATCCATCAAAACAGTGACACACGCACATAAAAAAATCACACAGCAAGAAAAAAACACAAAAACAACAACAACAACAAAAACAAACAAACAAATCGGCGCTTACGAACCACCATCCACCCGCCGTCTTTTCTCCCCAACTTATTTGCCGCGTCATTTGAAATTCGGCGCAAAAAACGTCCGTGCCGCCGTTATAAACTGCAAAAATAACGCCCCGACGCACATCCCAAATGCCACGTGACCCACACAAACCGCCTGCCCCGCCTGCGTCTCACCGGTGTCATTGGCACCACTGCGCGTCATCCCTTCCGTCTTGTTGCCCGACTGTAGGCGGAATTCAAGGACCACCGCAGCAACACCCGTCGCGAGCGCCACGCACAGGGAAAGAAGAGTTGTCAACAAAAAAGCCGGCACCACCACCAAAGGCAACGCCATTTTCACTGACGCCAGGGACCGCATTAACCCCGCTAGAACGACCGCAAGCGACGATGCGCACAAAATGGCGGTCATGGCAGGCATCCACGGTAATGAAAAGGGTGTAAGAGATGTGACCACTTCTGACGGTATATTCGTGAACATCAACCCAAAGAGCGACACCGCCGCCAATGACGTCAACAGACCAAACTCGCAAAGACGTACAAAAGGCCCAAAACGAGGCAAAAGACATAACGGCAGTGCGACAATAACGGTGAACAACAAAAGATACGCAAGGAACGGAGGGCTGGTAAACGCAAACAGCTTCGATGAAAGCAGTGACTCAAACTCAATGATAAGAAACAAAACCGCCAAAAGGCAGCCACATGCCATGCAACGAAGCAAAAAACAAAATTCTACACGGCGCAGTGTGGCAAACATGGTCCCTGCGTCAATCGCAGAGTAAGAAATACGTGTCGTCCCTTGACAATCGGTGGGTGGTGGTGGTGGTGGTGGTGGCAGCAGACAGATGGCAAGCGCAAAAATGGGCCCCACACATGTCAGGTAAACAAAGCCACGTAATACTTCAAGTACTTCGCCCTCACTAAGACGTAACGTAATTAAAAAAATGAATATTCCCGCCGCAAAGCTCATTAACCAGAGATAAATTGTAATAAACATAAGAGAAATGGTGCCAAGGAAAGCCCCCATCTTTGCGCAATTGATAAACAGCATCATAATCACAGATAACACAAGCCCCACGGCATGTAATAACTGAGATATCATCATTAACTCAAAGCTACCGGACGTATAGCCACGCATAAGACAAATTCCACTTCCAACAGTTGTAATCGTCGCAGTAAAAAGTAGAATAAACCGTATAGAGTTCCCACCACGAAAACAAAATGCTATAAGTGGCATCAGGATGAAAATTGCAGCCGCGTCAACAAATAAAAGAGTGAGTTTCATCATATTTCGCCTCGTAACAGAGCCCTCAACGTTGGTAAGGAGATCCATACTGGCAAACAGACCACTTTGTGCCATAGATGGGAAAAAGATACCCACAGAAAGTATTAAAAAAAGGACCTGACGTGCCATTGCTCTAAAAAAACCCCAAAAATTTACATCCATTCTCAACAACCCTTTCGTTTCCTTTTCAATTTCCACGGTAAAATCGGAATCCGAATCGTCAACGATTTTAAAGACGGGTAATTCGTTTTCGTAAAGTACCCATGCGATGGTGCGTCCTTCTTCACCAGTCACAAAATTAAAAAATAAAGGGTTGCTTGAAACCTCCCGTGAGTTTACATCACCCAAATGACTATTGGCGTCACCCTGCAAACCTTCCATCGTACCATATGAAGGCACCAAATTGAAGCGCCGGCTCAGGACTTGTTCACTTCCTTTTTCTTCTTCTTCTTCTTCTTCTTGTAGATCTTGCAGACGTGATGTCACCTGCACGCCGCAGTTTGAGCCCGACATGGGCAACGCGGCGGTTTTCGCCAAAGGCACCTCCGTATCCTCTTGCTGTTTCCACAATCCACACGGTTTCATCGCCCGTGTTTCCGATTCCACGCTATGTACTCGTCGGCTACTTGCACTCCATGAATTTACGGATCCACATACACTACTTAAAGGCGAACGTCCATACAACGCCTTCATCATAGCGTGATGTTCCATGGAAGCATCGTTTTCAATAATACTGCGCAAAGCCGATTCTTCTCTAATGAGAATCATTCTCCCTGCCGTATTGTCACTTTCCTCGTCTTCAGCGGCTTGTTGTAATAAGTACTTTACCATCGCTAAGGTAGGAACAGATGAAGACGGCGTGCCTATTTCACTACAGTGAGTTGATGAAGAGATTGGGTTCTCAAGAAACTCAGATGCGATGAGAGTTTGAGGCGATAACAATTGAGGTTCCCTGTCCTTCAAACTTCCTGTGGGATCATTGAAGGGGATATTTGACTTCACTGGGGGTTGAGGCGGATTTGTCTGCTCCGTCCCTCGCCCACTTCTTTTACTTCTTTTTCTTGGCATAATACAACAACAATACCGGCAACCACACCGTCTGGAGTCTCTCTCTCTCTATATATATATATATGTATGTATGTATTTCTTTTACTGATACTTGGAATAGAAAATACTATAAAATCGGAATAATAAAACAACAAACAACAAGAAAAAACAAAAACAAACAAACAAAAAAAAAAAATAGAATACACGTGCCCGTAACACACGGCGTGTAATAAAGCATGTGACACACACACACACACACACACACACATGTAGGAAAACCGTATAGACATCAATCATACATGCTCCAATATTTCATCTTGTGAAGATACGCGACAGCAATATAAATAAATAAATAAATACACATAAGTAGAGAGAAATAAATAAAAAAAAAAAAAAAAAAAGAGAAATTCATATAAAACTAGTGTCATGTATGTATAATACGATATTCTTATAGTAACACATATATATATATATATATATATATGCACAACGCTCTGACCATTGTTATTACGTGTATGAATCGTGTGTACTCTACATAACTTTTCCATGCACGCCTACGTGCCTGTAAGTATGTTATGTCTGGAAAGACCAGCGGTTGACGTACGTCTAAAAAAAGACAAACACACACAGAGACATAAACACACGCACACACACGAAAAAAAAAAAAACAAAAAAAAGAAAGTCAAACCCCCCAATTACACTGCAAAAAACAAAAGGACAAACAAAAGAACGAACACACACATACACACACACACATACACACTAACAACAAAAAACATGACATGCTCACACGTACATCATCAACAACAAAACGGCAAGCATTACAATGAAACACACATACAACACAAACTCGGGTGCGTTACAATCCATGACTATTCACAGTGACGTACGCGGAATAACAAAAGAAGGTGGGGGATGGTGGTGGTGGAGAAAAAAAAAGTGGAAAAGAAATGAAAGGAGCAAAACCTTGTATACATGCACGGCATTTCTCGCCTAAATTTCCCTTCCTTCATTTATTCCCTCCCCCACAATTTCCAAGGACGTTCCGGTCAAAGAAAAAACGAAAGAAACAAACATATAAAACCCATAATCCTCGTATACATAAATAAATTAAATGAAACACGTTTGAAAAGAAAAGAAATGCCCTTTACATGTTAATTAGATAAGAGAATACCGCTTGTACATAAGTGTCACAATAACCGCTACCATCAGAACACCACTTGTAAGAGAGAATACTCCAGTTTCTATGGTATCTGTTAGAAAACCAGCATTCCTTAGACACTTTGCCGCTAAAAAGGGAGAGTATTCGTGTAATGGACGTAAGAAAGTTTCCTCCCGTCCTTGCTGCAATGCATACAGAACCAACAAATCACGTCCTACAGAAGACAACTCCTCTGACAGACTGTCATGCTTCTCATGCAATTCCTCCAAAGCACGACGTCTCTTATCCTTATCTACTTCTCCATTCACAACTAATGACAAATTGGCGACACGATGAAGTCCATTGCTGAGAGCATCAATTCGCGCCTGAATCAATCGCTCTTTCACACTCTGCCCAACCAGCATCGTTTTCATCTCACGTACACGATGCCTAAGTTCCCGAATCAGCACCTCAAAATTCTCCTCTAAATTCAAAGCAGCATCCTCATTCTCACCGCAACCAGCATGAATATCAATCAATTCCTGCAAACGACGCGTCGGCTCTATATCCCTACAATCCTCCTCTAACTTCCCCAGCAATTCAGAAAATTCATGCAATTCCGCCTCAACACAACCAAATTCTAATTGCACATGTCCCAACGCATCCCACCAGTCTTCATTACTACAATTCCCATTCCAATTCCAACCAAAAACAAAATTCCTCAGCGAACGCAAAGATTTAAAAACTCCACACAAAAAAGAAACAAAAACGCTATCCTGCGCATGATGAAAAGTGCACAACCCATCTTGAAAAGACACTCCATATTCTCCTTCACCCAAACCACGCAACCTTCTCAAAAACACTACAACCATATCAGTTCCCGCCTTCAATCGGAAACCAAGTGAAGATTTCTCCATACAAATCTCATTAACACGACCATCAAAAATATTGAAAGCGTTACCACGCTCCTGTAGCTGGCGCTCCATGGCAGCCAAGGCGTCAACACTCTCACTGGTGCGGCTCTCCAGCGCGGACTTTTCTCTGCCGTACTCCTCCAGCCTGTCCTTCAGCGCGGCCAGGGCATCATCACGCTCCTGTAGCTGGCGCTCCATGGCAGCCAACGCGTCAACACTCTCACTGGTGCGGCTCTCCAGCGCGGACTTTTCTCTGCTGTGCTCCTCCAGCCTGTCATTCAGCGCAGCCAGGGCATCATCACGCTCCTGTAGCTGACGCCTGAGTGTAACGACGGCGTCAACACTCTCACTGGTGCGGCTCTCCAGCGCAGATTTTTCTCTGCCGTACTCCTCCAGCTTGTCATTCAGCGCGGCCAGGGCATCATCACGCTCCTGTAGCTGGCGCTCCATGGCAGCCAAGGCGTCAACACTCTCACTGGTGCGGCTCTCCAGCGCAGATTTTTCTCTGCTGTGCTCCTCCAGCCTGTCATTCAGCGCAGCCAGGGCATCATCACGCTCCTGTAGCTGACGCCTGAGTGTAACGACGGCGTCAACACTCTCACTGGTGCGGCTCTCCAGCGCGGACTTTTCTCTGCCGTACTCCTCCAGCTTGTCCTTCAGCGCAGCCAGGGCATCATCACGCTCCTGTAGCTGGCGCTCCATGGCAGCCAAGGCGTCAACACTCTCACTGGTGCGGCTCTCCAGCGCAGACTTTTCTCTGCTGTACTCCTCCAGCCTGTCCTTCAGCGCGGCCAGGGCATCATCACGCTCCTGTAGCTGACGCCTGAGTGTAACGACGGCGTCAACACTCTCACTGGTGCGGCTCTCCAGCGCAGATTTTTCTCTGCCGTACTCCTCCAGCCTGTCCTTCAGCGCAGCCAGGGCATCATCACGCTCCTGTAGCTGACGCCTGAGTGTAACGACGGCGTCAACACTCTCACTGGTGCGGCTCTCCAGCGCGGACTTTTCTCTGCTGTGCTCCTCCAGCCTGTCCTTCAGCGCAGCCAGGGCATCATCACGCTCCTGTAGCTGGCGCTCCATGGCAGCCAACGCGTCAACACTCTCACTGGTGCGGCTCTCCAGCACGGACTTTTCTCTGCTGTGCTCCTCCAGCCTGTCCTTCAGCGCAGCCAGGGCATCATCACGCTCCTGTAGCTGGCGCTCCATGGCAGCCAAGGCGTCAACACTCTCACTGGTGCGGCTCTCCAGCGCAGATTTTTCTCTGCCGTACTCCTCCAGCCTGTCATTCAGCGCAGCCAGGGCATCATCACGCTCCTGTAGCTGACGCCTGAGTGTAACGACGGCGTCAACGCTCTCACTGGTGCGGCTCTCCAGCGCAGATTTTTCTCTGCCGTACTCCTCCAGCCTGTCCTTCAGCGCAGCCAGGGCATCATCACGCTCCTGTAGCTGGCGCTCCATGGCAGCCAACGCGTCAACACTCCCACTGGTGCGGCTCTCCAGCGCAGATTTTTCTCTGCCGTACTCCTCCAGCCTGTCATTCAGCGCGGCCAGGGCATCATCACGCTCCTGTAGCTGACGCCTGAGTGTAACGACGGCGTCAACGCTCTCACTGGTGCGGCTCTCCAGCGCGGACTTTTCTCTGTCGTACTCCTCCAGCCTGTCATTCAGCGCGGCCAGGGCATCATCACGCTCCTGTAGCTGGCGCTCCATGGCAGCCAACGCGCCAACACTCTCACTGGTGCGGCTCTCCAGCGCAGATTTTTCTCTGCTGTACTCCTCCAGCCTGTCCTTCAGCGCAGCCAGGGCATCATCACGCTCCTGTAGCTGACGCCTGAGTGTAACGACGGCGTCAACACTCTCACTGGTGCGGCTCTCCAGCGCGGATTTTTCTCTGCTGTACTCCTCCAGCCTGTCCTTCAGCGCAGCCAGGGCATCATCACGCTCCTGTAGCTGGCGCTCCATGGCAGCCAAGGCGTCAACACTCTCACTGGTGCGGCTCTCCAGCGCAGACTTTTCTCTGCTGTGCTCCTCCAGCCTGTCATTCAGCGCAGCCAGGGCATCATCACGCTCCTGTAGCTGGCGCTCCATGGCAGCCAAGGCGTCAACACTCTCACTGGTGCGGCTCTCCAGCGCAGATTTTTCTCTGCTGTGCTCCTCCAGCCTGTCCTTCAGCGCAGCCAGGGCATCATCACGCTCCTGTAGCTGGCGCTCCATGGCAGCCAAGGCGTCAACACTCTCACTGGTGCGGCTCTCCAGCGCAGATTTTTCTCTGCCGTACTCCTCCAGCCTGTCCTTCAGCGCAGCCAGGGCATCATCACGCTCCTGTAGCTGACGCCTGAGTGTAACGACGGCGTCAACACTCTCACTGGTGCGGCTCTCCAGCGCAGATTTTTCTCTGCCGTACTCCTCCAGCCTGTCATTCAGCGCGGCCAGGGCATCATCACGCTCCTGTAGCTGGCGCTCCATGGCAGCCAACGCGCCAACACTCTCACTGGTGCGGCTCTCCAGCGCAGATTTTTCTCTGCTGTACTCCTCCAGCCTGTCCTTCAGCGCAGCCAGGGCATCATCACGCTCCTGTAGCTGACGCCTGAGTGTAACGACGGCGTCAACACTCTCACTGGTGCGGCTCTCCAGCGCAGACTTTTCTCTGCTGTGCTCCTCCAGCCTGTCCTTCAGCGCGGCCAGGGCATCATCACGCTCCTGTAGCTGGCGCCTGAGTGTAACGACGGCGTCAACACTCTCACTGGTGCGGCTCTCCAGCGCGGATTTTTCTCTGCTGTACTCCTCCAGCCTGTCATTCAGCGCAGCCAGGGCATCATCACGCTCCTGTGGCTGGCGCTCCATGGCAGCCAAGGCGTCAACACTCTCACTGGTGCGGCTCTCCAGCGCAGATTTTTCTCTGCTGTGCTCCTCCAGCCTGTCATTCAGCGCAGCCAGGGCATCATCACGCTCCTGTAGCTGGCGCTCCATGGCAGCCAAGGCGTCAACACTCTCACTGGTGCGGCTCTCCAGCGCAGATTTTTCTCTGCTGTGCTCCTCCAGCCTGTCCTTCAGCGCAGCCAGGGCATCATCACGCTCCTGTAGCTGACGCCTGAGTGTAACGACGGCGTCAACACTCTCACTGGTGCGGCTCTCCAGCGCAGATTTTTCTCTGCCGTACTCCTCCAGCCTGTCATTCAGCGCGGCCAGGGCATCATCACGCTCCTGTAGCTGGCGCTCCATGGCAGCCAACGCGCCAACACTCTCACTGGTGCGGCTCTCCAGCGCAGATTTTTCTCTGCTGTACTCCTCCAGCCTGTCCTTCAGCGCAGCCAGGGCATCATCACGCTCCTGTAGCCGGCGCTCCATGGCAGCCAAGGCGTCAACACTCTCACTGGTGCGGCTCTCCAGCGCAGATTTTTCTCTGCTGTACTCCTCCAGCCTGTCATTCAGCGCGGCCAGGGCATCATCACGCTCCTGTAGCTGGCGCTCCATGGCAGCCAACGCGTCAACACTCTCACTGGTGCGGCTCTCCAGCGCAGATTTTTCTCTGCTGTACTCCTCCAGCCTGTCCTTCAGCGCAGCCAGGGCATCATCACGCTCCTGTAGCTGACGCCTGAGTGTAACGACGGCGTCAACACTCTCACTGGTGCGGCTCTCCAGCGCAGACTTTTCTCTGCTGTACTCCTCCAGCCTGTCCTTCAGCGCAGCCAGGGCATCATCACGCTCCTGTGGCTGGCGCTCCATGGCAGCCAAGGCGTCAACACTCTCACTGGTGCGGCTCTCCAGCGCAGACTTTTCTCTGCTGTGCTCCTCCAGCCTGTCATTCAGCGCAGCCAGGGCATCATCACGCTCCTGTAGCTGGCGCCTGAGTGTAACGACGGCGTCAACACTCTCACTGGTGCGGCTCTCCAGCGCGGACTTTTCTCTGCCGTACTCCTCCAGCCTGTCCTTCAGCGCAGCCAGGGCATCATCACGCTCCTGTAGCTGGCGCTCCATGGCAGCCAAGGCGTCAACACTCTCACTGGTGCGGCTCTCCAGCGCAGACTTTTCTCTGCTGTGCTCCTCCAGCCTGTCCTTCAGCGCAGCCAGGGCATCATCACGCTCCTGTAGCTGGCGGCTGAGTGTAACGACGGCGTCAACACTCTCACTGGTGCGGCTCTCCAGCGCGGACTTTTCTCTGCCGTACTCCTCCAGCCTGTCCTTCAGCGCAGCCAGGGCATCATCACGCTCCTGTAGCTGGCGCTCCATGGCAGCCAAGGCGTCAACACTCTCACTGGTGCGGCTCTCCAGCGCAGACTTTTCTCTGCTGTGCTCCTCCAGCCTGTCCTTCAGCGCGGCCAGGGCATCATCACGCTCCTGTAGCTGGCGCTCCATGGCAGCCAAGGCGTCAACACTCTCACTGGTGCGGCTCTCCAGCGCAGACTTTTCTCTGCTGTGCTCCTCCAGCCTGTCATTCAGCGCAGCCAGGGCATCATCACGCTCCTGTAGCTGACGCCTGAGTGTAACGACGGCGTCAACACTCTCACTGGTGCGGCTCTCCAGCGCGGACTTTTCTCTGCCGTACTCCTCCAGCCTGTCCTTCAGCGCAGCCAGGGCATCATCACGCTCCTGTAGCTGGCGCTCCATGGCAGCCAAGGCGTCAACACTCTCCTGTAGCTGGCGCTCGAGTGTAACGACGACGTCAACACTCTCACTGGTGCGGCTCTCCAGCACAGACTTTTCTCTGCTGTGCTCCTCCAGCCTGTCCTTCAGCGCAGCCAAGGCATCATCACGCTCCTGTAGCTGGCGCTCGAGTGTAACGACGACGTCAACACTCTCACTGGTGCGGCTCTCCAGCACAGACTTTTCTCTGCCGTACTCCTCCAGCTTGTCATTCAGCGCAGCCAGGGCATCATCACGCTCCTGTAGCTGACGCTCGAGCGTAGCCAGAACGTCAAAACCCTTGATTGGGCAATCTTTTAGTAAATGCTTTTCTTTTCCGGAAAAATCCAGCCTTCTTTGCACAGGTGGTGTTCGTGGGCTGTCTTGCGTGTAAAAATGTTTGATGCGGGTAAATGTTTTAGCATTTCTGTTATTGTCTTCTCTTTCCTTCGTATCGATTTCTTGTGATAGCTTTTGTCTCAATTGAGTTTCACCCATATTTTTACTTCTGGTGTTGATTAAAATTCTTTGTTGAAGTTGGAGCTTCTCTTCCGCATTTTTTCTAATCTGTTGCACTAGTGCTTTGATGTTCTGCGCACATTGAAGTTGTGTGATTGTTTTTCTTTGCGGTTTCCGTTTTTGCTGAACCCCGTGTGTATTTGCTGCCTCTTCACCATATGTTTCAATTTCCGATTGAATAATGGGAGTGTACTGACGATTTTTTGCCTGCATGGCGGCCAAAAGATGCAGAGACTGTCGTTCTTGAAGTATGATCGTCTCATTTCTGTCTGGTGCTGCCCCCAAGCTACATAGGACACTGCAGATGGAAATGCTACGGCGTTCTGGCTTCATTTTGTAATGCCATGACCCACTAATCATCTTGATAAGTTCTGCAAAACGTGGTCTTTCAAAAAGGCTCGTATGTGAACGACGTTGTCTAGCGCTCTGGTTCTCTCTGGGAGTGGTGTTGTTGGAAGCACAAAAGTTGGAGGCGGTTTTCGACTCCACCTCATAAAGACGGTTACACAACGCATTCATTTCAATATTTAACTTCGCAATCTTCTTATAGTCTTCCTGCAGTTTTTCCTCCAACTCTTCAAGATCAGAGCTGCGGCGTTCATTTATCCTAGACATCTGATTGCGATGTTCGTTTACATTAATCATAAGTACGTGTGCCACAACCCATCTGTACAACTCCGTAAGAGCAATGCTGCCTTTCATCACCCCCTCATATGTAAACTTTGGTGTATTGATGTACCGCTGCAACACTTCCTCACGCTGCCCTTGTGTCAAATCACTGGAGTCAAAGGTCGCCAAAAGCTCCGTTATTCCAGGACGATGTAAGATGGGCATAATTTCAGCCCACGTACGTCGCCGTTCGCCTAACACAAGCACCACTGCGGCCATCACCCGTACCACGATTTCCGGTGGTGTTCGATATGACACCAACTCGTGCCAGTGATGAATGTCAATCTTCTTTACAGCCGTACGGACGTCCCCGAGTTCTTCCTGGGCAATTATCACCGCCTCTTCAACCTCCTGCTTCTCCTTCTGGACGGCACAGCGCCTCTCCCAAATCTCTTGCGAGGATTGTTTGGCGTCCTTGATGCACCGCACAAACTCCTTTTCTAGATTCCGCAGTTCCTCAAGTATAGATTTGCCCTCTTCCGTTGTGGCCACCACGCCGCAGAGACTTCTCCGGGCCTCGTGCATCAGTGGTTCAACCAAAAGTTTGTTTTCTTCAAGCCTTTCCAACACCGTCGCCAACCCGCATTGCAACTTTCCTGAGGCTGTGTCAAAGTACTCGTATGAGATGAGATCACCAACGTCAAAAGACGGAGAAATTATTTGGGCATTTGGCGATTGTAATTGAAGATGCATCGTCCGGGTATCCATAGGCGACGGTGAAGAAGACACATTTGCGGGTGTTACGGTTTCTGTTGTCAATTCCTGCCCGTCCATGTCCCAAAATAATAAAGTGTTGAGATGCAAATTCACTCAACTGCACAAACACAAACACAGACAGCCACAGACCAAAGATTCACTTATAGGGAAATTAGAATGAATCAACCAGTGTTGATATATCGTACTGCTCCCACTCAAGTAAAGGGTCGATAATATACTGCCGAAATAAGGTTTGTATTTGACTGTATACGACAACCAATAATAATAATAATAATAATAATAATAATAATAATAATAATAAACACCTTTATTGTGTTGCAGACTTCTCTTGTAAACTTATATACATGTGCAATAGCCAAAAGAGAAACACACACACACAGAGAGAGAGAGAGAGAGAGAGAGAGAGAGAGAGAGAGAAAACGACAAAATTGAAAGTGAAAAGCCGCACACGCTATACAGAAATAATGAATGTGTGCCTGCCATTCCACTTTCGCTTCCGTGTTCCCCCTTTTTTGTGGCAATGTTTTGATGTGAAAAAGTGACAAGGCTCCACGCCTCAACCTCACGTCAATCACACTCTTTATCGTCCTGAATTGCAATAGTTTTTGTCTTTTCCTTCCACACACACACACAGAGAGAGAGAGAGAGAACAACAACAACAACAACAACAACGAAATTCACCAGCACTTGCAGCAAACACGTCCAAGAGTAAGAACAAAGTAGCGTCGCGGGTCTCACTTCCGCTGCCCCGTCGCTCGATCGTAAAGTTGACTGATGGCCTCCATCACAAGACGGATGCGATATTTGATACGTAGTGCTTCTTTACTCAGTCGTGCCGCCCGCTCACGCAGAAGTTTCTCCTTTTTCTGAAGAAACACATCCGCCTCCGCTGTTGACATTGGAAGAACCACACCACAGCCAAGATTCACCCAAACCTGCGACCCATCCTTGACGGAACATTGCACAAAGAAATAATTGCCAATATCAACCATAATTTGATTGCGCTGTGGCCTCTTTTCTTCTTCTTCTTTTTCTCCTCCTCCCGCTGCTATTGTGGCGGGTAAAGAAGGCGCGTCGCCGTCTGTGATGAATGAGTGTGTTGAGGAAAGTGCCCGCATCTCCTGAAAGAGTTCCCGCAGCTGGCAGCACTCCGAGGCCATTGTGTACACCGTGTCCCGCTCCCGCAGTACCTTCTCGAGGGATTGGCGGAGGACGGCGTCCAGGAAGTGCTCGAGACGTGCCATTCTGCCAGTCTCCGCGTCAAACGACGAGGGTGGCCCATAAATGCCGTCTTCCGTGGACATCTTCAAGCCGCAGCAAATGTTGTTATCAAACAGGGAGAGAAGACAACAATGACGTTTGCTCACCGCAAAATAACGCCAATCCCCCCTCAAAAACAGATAGATTAAAAAAAAAAAAAAAAAGCACTCCGTGGCACATTTTCTTCCAATGATTCATCATTGCCGTTTTTTTTTTTTTTCGTCACGCCTCCGTACCCAGCCTGATGCCCTGACCCGCACCCAAAGTTCAATTTAAAAGATCCCGTTTCTTCCACCAACATATTCGTGCGTGTCTTTCTCTCTCTGACTCTCTGCCAGTACATGTCAAATGTGGCATTGTTAACGACTGATTGTCGTGAACATCATGACTGTGCGTGGTGGCACCACATGCTTCAGTGTCTCGCGATCGGCAGGATCAGCCCACAACAACACACCGAGAGGTTGATACCTGCTCCATTTGGTTTCTCTAGCGGAGAGACGGACAGGTACATCAGCAATTGTGCCTTCCTGTAGGAGCCCTTTCAGTGCAACCCACACCGCCAACGGTATTCTCGCCGTTTCTGGCAAAATCCACACGTGACACGTCGGTTCTGCAGCAGACGTTTTGAGACGTCCATGCTGACGATGCCGCTGCCTTGACGCCATCAGGCCCCTATCCCGTATCATCCAACTCCCAGAAGTATCATTCGCCGCATCTTCTTCAAGACGCTCTCGTAGCACATCCACTGCAGACGTGTCATTTTTAATTCCTGGGAGCTCCAGTCTATGGAATGAAATGCAGTTGGCGTACTTTAATTGCCATGGGTCAAGATAGGCCATGACATAGGCGGGGGTGGCGCGCCAATGGAGACCAAGAAAGAGACTCTTGCGGTGGAGAGCCCCAAGAAGGGCACTGTCTCCAATTACGCCAGTCAAGCACTCGCATGGCGAATTGCCCCTGCGACGCTGCGGGCCAAATCCCCAAAGTTCATCACCGTGAAGCAGCGTGAAGACAACGAGTACGGTGACAAATGCCCCAACCGTCGCCAGGCGCAAAAACATCCGCCTAAAAGACAATCACGCACACACAAACAGAAAGGATAAAAAAAAAAAATAAAAATTTTCCACCGCTGTCGACAATAAAAAAAAAAGAAAAACGCGTAAAAGATGAACTGAGACCAAAAAGCACCATGAAAAAGCCAAGCAGTCCAACAGAACACGTCTCTCTCCCCATCTCTCTGTGTGCATGTATATATATATATATATATATATATATATATATATATATGGGTCATCTTCACCCTCCTCGGCCATCATTTTTTCCTTTTTACCCTTTTTTCTTTCTTTTTTTTTGCTTTTAAGACGGAAGGAAAACAGCAACGGTGGCCACACATCCCACCCATCCCTTTCACAAATCCTCGTTAAGTGTGGATGCATGTTTTCCCCTCTCGGCAACATTTTCTCCCCCTCCGTCTTTTTCTTCCCCAGAGAGAACCGTCCTCTCAGCCTCTGTAGCAACGCCAAAAAACTCTTCACTACTCGTCTCCATGTGGTCGTATTTCCAACCGGTGCTTAGAACAATTTTCGCCGCCCGTTCATCAAGGCGAAAATGAGCCCAAACGAATTTGTCGTGCCCATTCTGGTCAAAGTACTGTAACAAAAGCGAGACTAAACTGTCCTCCACGGCGCGTCGTAAAGAATGACCATTCTCTTTTCCCTCCCATGTTTCACGGTGACGCTCCACAAGGAAGGTGACCGCCAAATCCTCAATGCTGCTCGTTACAACCGCCCCCTTGTTCCAGTACGTTCCACATGGCAGGGCGGCCACGGCAATTCTAATCATTTCCTCCGCATCGTGCCTAGAGAATGGAAGAAAAAGCATCGTACGTGTAAAGGCAGAGAGGAGTGTCCCATAAAGACCAGCAAACTCATCACGAACAAGTTGCTCAATTTCCGCCATGCTTTTCCCCCACGTGCGTCCCTGCTTTCCAAAGTCGGTGGTCACAACAACAATTAACTGCGCAAGGGATGGCGTATCCTCTGGTTGTTCCTCAAAACGTTCTGCTCGTCCAAGGAGTGGCGCAAGTGCGGCCACAAGTTTCGGGTGCATTGCCGCTAGATCATCAAGTAACACAATACCGTGCGGATACACCTTCTGGTGAGCTGTCACACGTTGTATGATACGAGTCCGTGCGTCCTCAATCGGCATCCCATCAAAACCTGTACCGGAGATGACAAGCATGTTTTCACCCATGTCGCACGCTGGGCGGGATGGGGCACAATGCGGTGATGTGGCAAGAGACAAAAGACGTGCAGTATGCGTCTTGCCAACCCCATTGTCCCCTGCAAAGTGTAATACAAGTGGATCCCGCGGGTAAATCAACTTGCGCCTTACCGCCTCTAGAATGGCACCCTTCACATGTTCTTGTCCCACAAGTCGTGTAAGAAGAAGTTCCTTCACATCCTCCATGACGCGATGACGCAATTTCTCATCCTTTTCAACGGAGAACTCCCGCTTCACCAAGACCGCAGGAAGCGAAGTCAAGACGCAATAACGCAGCCTTAAGAAAAACGGTGTGCCACGGGCGGAGCAGATGGGGCAACGGGGGCAGCGCCGCTCCACCTCCTCTCCCTCCGCCGCGACAGGAAGCGGTCGCAACGAGGACGCGGGAAATATCAAAAAAATTACAATACATACGGCAATAGCCATTGTCGCAACCGGAATACCTCGTGTAAAAAGACGCCGCGCGGACATTACTGCAAGCAGGAGCAGAGGCTCACTGTTCTCTTCCTCGCCTCCCTCTCGCTCCACAGCAGCGCTTAACTAGTAATGTCTCCCTCCTTGCGCTGTGTGAGGTGATGATGCCACGATATTTGCCTGAGCCCCACAATTATGTGTTTTTTTTTTTTGTGTGTGTGTGTGTCATTTCGCCAGCCATGGAAGGGAAGGCAACGGAAAGACAGCAATAAATCCAGCCAGCCAACAGATCACATGTAAAATAATAATAATAATAAAACGTCAAACAGGCCGGACACAC